AAGCGCGAATCGTAAATATTCAACCACTATCGACTTCCTTATCTGACTGACTTCCTCCAGTCAAATTTTCCGTTTAATCATAACCAGACAGTTTCCTGCAATAGTGTATTTGAATTCTGAAAAAAACAACTCAATTCGTAGACTGCTGCAAGTGCTCGAGTAAGTGAATGCCATTTTTTTGCGCCTATTATGAGACGGTACGCATCCTAAAAATCTACACTATCCTTTCGGACTGCGAAATGGTCTTTCTTGCACTTTTTTTCCCATTGGTTTGTTGCTTTTTCGTAATTCATGATTTTTATTATATTTTCTTTGAATGCACGAGACCATTCCTCCCTCGTTTTCCGTCACATTTAGCGATACGGTAATTTGTGATAGGTCTTCCTCCAGCTTGTGCAGTTTTCCGCTTCAATCTTGAAAAACTCCTGCCGGTAGTTTTCAAATGTTTTTTTTTTAATGTATTTGTGAGATGCCTCGAGCATAATTCGCATCTGATACACAGATGTTTCAGAATGGAGACCAGCTTTTTCGTAGAGGAGAGAAAGTAAGTTTTTAACGACGCTATTCTTAGCTTCAACTCAGATATTCCTTGATTGATAAATGAAGCATGCAGCTGACTTTATGAAACCTTTCTCAGGAAAATTAAACAGTCTTTGAATGGCATCACGAATCCGCTAATTTCATTTCTTCAAGTCAGTCTCTTTTGTACCGTGAACTTTTACATGACAAAACCGAAATTAGCCGTACCTTTAAATTTTACAAATGGGAAATGAGCCGAATATACTCGTTTTCAATTATTACTGAAACAAGTGATGGAAAACATCGATTTAATGTTTCTCCTGTTTTTGCTGTATTTGGCTAGTCAAAATATAGAGTGGTGGACGGACAAAAGCGAACGCATAGTAAATTAAACTGTGCTCGTTTTCATACACGCATAACCGTTTTTCGCTATATTAACAAGGCTTCTTTCGTCAAATAACCAGTAAATTTCATGCACCACTCAGTGCAAGCCTTCTTATGGTTAATATTTGGTCTCTTTCGATGTCAGTCAAATTTTAGAATTTCTTTTCCGAGTGTAGCAAAATGCAATTTCAGTCTCCTAAACCGCTCGGAGCTGCGTCTATTCCTTTTGCTCGTAAACAAAGCTCATTGAGTGAATTCAATAGACATACACAGCTTATATTTGCACTATGCTGGTAGAGGAACAGTATTTTCCTTCATATGTAAGCACGGATTAGTGACAATGTTTTGTCGGAATCGTGTATTAGCTGAAATTGATAAGGGAGTATATTTCAGTTAATGATGCAAGAAGCTACTTCCCTACTAAGAGCTTATATAGTATAATATCAGTAGACGAACACACACACACACAAAAAAAACTGTAAACACCATGCGTTATATCTTGGTTTATATTACGCTTTTTTCATCTTGCTTGTCTCAAACAATTTGAAGCGGCGAGGCAAAGTAAAATACTCTTGCAAAGTCGAAGCTCCGCTAATAATTCGAAATTCATTAAGGCAAACTTGTTGTCTCAACAAACCTTTGTTTGATGATCAGTGGTAGTTCATGTTTCGCTTTATCAAGGGTACCCCTGCAATAATTTTACAAGCTTATTTCAACTTGTCAACCACGTAGCCGTAGGTTGATTTTTCTGTCCAATAATTAATGCTGCTCTACTCCATAATCATGCTAATGTTTTCATCAGCATTTTGACACCGTCTATTCTAAGTTTGGTTGTCAGCATGATAGAGAACAATTCTTAGAGATCTTTTCGATGTTTCGTTTTGTTAGGCAAGTTGTGAACAGAGTATTTTCATTCCTTTATTTGTTCACATTACAAATAGCAAATGTGTGTAATTAAAAAATGAATAAAACGTGAATTTTTCGCTTACTTTAAAAGCCGATCGAGCAAGTGAAAATTCTTGTATTGGACGTAAAAACTGAAGGGATAGATTCTCGCTCTGTATTCACTGTATTCATGGTAACACCGTCAAGAATTTCCATTGAAATATCCATCTGTGGTTGTTGGTTTTTGTGGTTGCAATATAGCAAAATGTTCAAAAAGGATTAAGAGCCGTCAAAGAAAAGGAGAAAAAAATATATGGATATCTGTAAAGCAGCCAATTCAAGGATGCTTTGAGTTTCTTATCAACTGAATGGAGATCACTCATAATCTGGCAGCTGCTAGCCACATTGTCGAACAAGAAATTTCACAAAAACTGTTAATTATCCCACTGTTTAGGGGAACGCGAACGGTTATTAAGATAAAAAGATAAAAGATAAACCTCTCCGCCATTTATCCGAAACAAAAATAAAACGAAGGTGCCTGCAGCCAGAGGATTTATAGAGACCATTGTTGATATAAATTATCCCCAAGGATATACGCACGCGAAGATGAATTAAAGAACCGTTTAAGCTTATTCCAGAAAGCAATGTTTCTTTGCAATATCGCATTACAATGAAACATGAAATTTAAATGGGGAAGGCTTTTCATCAGAGAAATAAAACAGACTGAAAGTTATTTTTATTGAGATTGTCAGGGTGCATGAAATTATAAGCTTGAACGAAGCAAACCATCTTAGACTCACATTTTAATATTAAATACCCTCATAATCAATCAAACTAACATTTATAACCCGCTTCGAGGTTGATATCCAAAAAAAAAAAGATCAAAGACAGAGAGATTCACAAGTCAAGCGACAAAACTTACACTTCAATTTTTGTCGTGATAAATATGTGTTTTATTAAGAATCTTACGCCGAATCGTTCGCGATGTTTTATCGGCTGTTTTGTCATGTTTTCAAAATCAACTTCTCTCTTCTCTTTGTCGATATCTTTTTCTAGTTTTAAAGGAAATAAAAACAAATGAAAATACAAAATCAAACGTTACAGTCTTTAAATAACTAGAAATATTAGGATTTCATATTGCTGAGAAAAACTAATTTTTTCCCGTTGCGTCCTAATATGTGTGATTTGCATTAAAATGCTTAAAGGTGAGTAAAAAGGGTCTTATCTTACACACAAAACATCGGTTTGTATTCATTAGTATTTCTGCATCAAAATTTTTTCCCAATTTCTTTCGGGAGAAGCAATTTTCTTGAGCTGGGACGCGATTATTTAATCTAGAAGGCATCTTGTTTGGTTTCTAGTCGTGTTAAGTAGCTTAAGTGCTTTTAGCAAAGAAATTGTTTGCCTCATCATAATTTTGCTTATTAGTCAAATATTAATTCATCATTCGTGCGTAGCTGGAGAATGGCCGCGCTGCGGGACCCATTTTAGGACAATAACCGGTTTTACTCATTCGGAGTTAATTTCCCCCGAGGGGTTCGCGATAATAATTCGAAAGAAACCCACAATTGCTCGAGAAAAAAAGAAAGAAACAGTTGTTTAACGGCGCCGATGACAATGAAATTGTCGAAGAAATAGTCAACACGGACGCGCGCCTGTTCAAGTTTCTTGAATTTACGGCTGAGGTAGTGCTGATGTAGCCTCCTCTTAATTGCCGGTGACTAAGATTAAAAGTACGTACAGCTTAGTCGAAATGAACTGATTAAAAATCCCGAAAAGATTCACTTCCGACGATAATTTAAACTCTTCGAAGTGAATTATTGAGAGAAAAAAAGAATAAGCGAAGAGCGACCGGGTGGCGATTTCCCATACTGTGAGGGTTGGATTTTCAACCCCGCACTTAAACATTTTTTTTAAAATTTAATAATATAACATTTTCGTTTCGCTTGGACGGGAAGCAAATCAAAACGAAGAGACAATATTACGCAGATTTGCACGGCTTACTAATGGATGTAGTTAAAATGCCTCGTCCGCTAAATCTGAAATCAATTACGAATCAGTCTCTTGTCACATCAAGCACTTCAATTCGCAAGTTCTTATGAATACCCAGCTCTAATTCTACATTCATTAGTAAGATCCCTAGAGCGCAATTTCTTGAATTTAGCTGGAAAACGATAGAAGAACAGAGTTCGATATGTTTTTATTGGCTTGTTTTAATCGGTTGGCACATCACCACAGTAGAAAAATCATAAGGAACACAGAATTCACACTTCCTCCATAACTGATCGATCATATCGCAGTGTTCATTAGCGCGCGACAGCCAAAATGATTGCAAACAAATCGCATCCTGTCGGGATTAAAGGGTGAGCAAACGTTTCTGAATTTAATAGTCACTTTACACAACTTAGCGGTGAATTCAGAGCAAGCTTCGCTGAACATGAGTTTGATTTCGCAACACGCATTCATCTTACGAATTAATTTGATTAAATTTCTGTAAAGAAGACCTGCTTGCACCTGTTGCAGTCTTGGTAGAAGAATAATGAGCTTTCTCCCACGTCCGTGATAATTAGCGCGTCATCGTTCTCCCCCGCAGATTAAAGTGGTGTTTTCAAGTGAGATCACTCCGTTTGACGGATCCAAACACCGTTTATTGTGCGACCCAATGACTGTAGCACGTGGATCATTCATGGATAAACACACATCAAAGACTAAATTTATCATATAAATAATTTATGAAAAACAGAAATAAACTCCAAGATTTCCCTTCCCGTCCCAGCTTGTGCGGAAACGGGCTGATAAGAGCATTTTAAACGAAACGTGATCAAAAAAACGGCTCGATATAACAACATCGGTTATCGCAAAAAGTGTGGTTTTCTGTATCGTTTGAACTGAAGTTGTGTTTTGACTGGCTTTTTCCTTAATGACCTCCCTCCCATCATGGGTAGTTAAGAACGCGGAAAATCAGACGAAGTAGACAGAGAACAATTGAAATCGTTTTATCAAACCGCTAATGACGAACTCCATTCTGAGCTTGGCACCACCAAAGGAGCCACAAATCTGACAAAGCGGGCGATGTCCGTCAGTTCTATCAGCCAATCAAACGCTCGCTCCTTGCGCCTCGCGCGTGTGCGCCAAAACGTTGTTGCTATGGTGTTCACCTGCCGCATCTACTACCGCTGTGATAGGTTTTGTTCTTACGAGTTTAAAAAGGCATGACATCAAAAAATGCCTTTATTGTAAAACGACCGCTTCAAGTCGCTTTTGCACTCGAGACAACTCACAGATTTCTTGAGTCGGACTCCGCCGAGCGAGATCAAAAGATGCCTAAGTCATTCTTGGTCAAAAAGCGGGTAGCGATAACAGCTTGCATAGACTCCCAAGAAATCCCAGACACTGAGATAAAAAGCGAATCTGGTAAGGTGCAAGGATTAGAGTTGCTCTTTTATGGAAGGGTTTTAATGGTCATGATTTATTTTTCCGTGTGATCGAATTTTTCGAGACAGACATTCAGTACTTCAGATGTTCAACCGGTTATTCTATGAAAAAAGTCTTTTTGAGGTAATTTTAACGCAAAGCTAAATGAAAGTCAAAATAGAATTTGCTAAGGAATTTCTAAGGAACAGAATCGTGCACCCGGCTGTAGGATTTTTTCTTTTATTGGTGTGAAATCATAACTGATAAATTGGGGATTTATCTTATTCGAGATTGTTCACAAAAGCGCAGTGTTCTGTGAAAACTAAATGCGGTCAGACTTTAATGGATCTGAATATTCAGGCTTTATTTTCCATCTTGAGTGCATGATGATTTAAACGCGCGCTAGTTAACCGTCAAGTTTTCTCTTCTTTCTTTTTAAGGACAAACAGCTGAAATGGTACGAGATGACTCGGAGGAGAAAGAGACGAAAAGCGCCCCATCAAATAGACCTTTTGATATTGTAAACTTATTCGCGCCCGATAAGCTGACGAAAAAGGAGACCAGTCCTACACAGTGGAGACCCTTCGTTCCAAATAGACCAAATATGGGGCTAATGGAACCGAATGTACTTTCTGCAAATGGTAATTATAATTTTTGACTTGTTGCGTATCAGTTTGGGTTGTTAAGCGAACGCCGGTCTTAAAAGCCCGTTTTCCTTAAGTAAATGAGAGCTCTTAAAATCAGAGCAAGAATATTTGCCTCGCATTAGTATAACTCTTATCGCATTGGCGACATTAGAATATCTTTCTCTGTCTCATGATATATTGCCAGATGGTGAAGTATTTTACTAAACTTTCAGCAGAAAATTTGCTGCTTGAATTAGGGATATAAATTCGGAACGCGCCTTCGTCGAAATTTACATATGAGAATTCTTGGCCCATGTAGTTCTAGTTTTAATTTAGGAAATCAGAACTCGCGAATTGCTGTAATAAGGCACACAGGAAATGATCCCGCTTGCATATAGACTTTGCGTGTAAATAGCGCGTATTTTCACGGCTCTATCATAGACAAGATTTAAAATCTGCAAACAAACCGCTGCAAATGGTGTAAAGTCGAGCGGAACACTTTTTATTTGATTACCAATCGCGTGCGAGTCTACAAGATGAAAATATTACTTGTATTGGGTTGCTGTATATCATAGAGCCACAAGACATTGACAAGTAAATAAAGATTAATTAACCCGGAGAAAAACCCTAACAATACCACAAAGACTGTATGTTTAACTCGCTGGAGTTTAATTGTTAAAACAGTGTGTATACTTCGACCTAGTGTTGAGTTTATTAAAAACAGCATATGAAACCAGTGCCACCTATAGAATTGTCTCCGTAAATTAAATTGGAACAGAGTGGCTTAAGCTCGGTCAGAACGGAAAATGAAGCTGAGAACAAACCAGAGGAAATGGAAGTGAATTCGTTTTGGTGCCTTTTATATTTTTCCGTTCAGATTAATCGACACAGAGGCTTAATTACGCCTCTTATTTAGAGGAAATATCACACAAAGTCATTTCTTTTACACTCCCTTTCAGCCATTGTTACCACTTGGATGGTTTGTTTCTTCCTCAATCAGGGCTAAAAACACCCTTTTAGAGTGTAAAATGAAGCGGTATCTATAAAGGGTTTTAATTTGAGTGAATCATCACTCAGCTTTTTTGAATTGACCCGGACTCTAGTGAAAAGGTTATTACAATAGGCCTCTCTAAACGAATTTTGCATTCAAATGTTCTACGCAAACACTATAAAGGGAAAACTTATCAGGCGCGCAGATTGCCCGTCTCGTTTAGGATTTTTAAACATGTACGAGATCTCTGCATTTGAATAGCCCTTCCGAAAGCACTTTGGATGTTTTTGTTTGTTCGAACCTGGTTATAAATCACGAAAATTTAACGCTGTACTCCGTCATTAATCCGCAGTAAAACACGAATCTTGAATCCAGTTTATTATTATTATTATATTTTTTCGAGGTTCGTGGGATAGAGCTACAGAATTCATAAAGTTAACACAGTGTTTTTTCGTTATCTCTTAGGTGGCAGACCTTATCTTCCTCGCTTTTCAAGCCCATATACACCCGATGCGTTCAGTCCATTCCTTGGTTTGTCTCCTTTTGTACGTCTCCCGCCTCAGCCATTCTTGGGCGACCGCAGATTACCTTTTCCTTATTGGCAATCAACATTCTTTGCAAATCCTTTCACAAACTCGTTCGTGCGTGTCGGAAATGGAACAGAAAACGCGTTTAAACAGAATTTGCGTGGAACCACCCCGTCGAATGTAAGCGAGAAAAAGAAACCCGAACAGGCGTACAACGGTCAAACGTTCGATTGCCTCAACTGTAAGAAGGTTTTCAGCACACCGCATGGTTTGGAAGTACACGTGCGACGTTCGCACTCTGGACAGCGACCCTTTGCTTGCGACGTGTGCGGGAAAACGTTTGGCCATACAGTTAGCTTAGAGCAACACAAGAACATCCACACGAACGAAAGATCGTTCGAGTGTAAACAATGCAATAAGACTTTTAAGCGCTCATCCACCCTCTCAACTCACATGTTGATTCACTCAGACACAAGACCCTTTCCTTGCGACTACTGCGGAAAAAGATTCCATCAAAAGTCTGACATGAAGAAACACACATACATTCACACGGGAGAGAAGCCTCACAAGTGTCTGCAGTGTGGCAAGGCGTTTAGTCAGTCTTCAAATCTTATCACACACAGTCGCAAACACTCCGGTTTTAAACCGTTCGCTTGTCGCCACTGTGATCGAGCATTCTACCGCAAAGTCGATTTAAGACGTCATGCTTACACTCATGAAATGGACCCGCTAGCGATGAAAGATTCGCAGAATAATTTTTAGTGACATTTTCTGCTTTTATAATCTGTTAAACTAAAAATGCTAAACCAAGACATGATCTAAATTTTGTAGAAAAATTAACAATAATAATTATGATGAAATAAAATCCAAATAGTAGAGTTAATGACCTGGTCTAAATTCTGGAACACTTCTTACAATGAATTTGTTGCCACAGGAAAAAAAAGAGGAAGTTTGTACGTAAATAAATGTAGAAGAGATGCTCCTGTGGTGTATTTCAAATATAATACAAATCAATCGTTCGTATAATACAAATCAATGGTACGTATAAAAGCTAAGCTCTTTCTAAATCAAATTGTGTTTCCTTTTTTGAAAGCTTGTTAATCGTATCGTCTGCTTATATTAAAAGGAAGAACATGTGTTGAATATATTGAGGATATCTGCATCAGCCTTTTAATAAAATGTGATTTAAATTCTATCGCGAGCTATCCTTTTTCGATTTGCTGTTTGGTATTGTGAAATCCCATTTATTGTGTTCGTCGCTGTCGAATCGTTCATTAATTTATAATCAATAGACGAGGCAGTTAAAATTGCTCGTGTTTAACTTTCAGTCAATGTGATAAAGAGAAAAAAAAATTTAAATGTTCATGTCAAAACACACGTCTTACAACTGTTCCCGACGCGTCTATGAATGAATTTTGCAAATGCTAAAACCAACCTTTATCAAACTGTGTTAAAAAATTCATTGAAAGTTGAAAATCACTGTATACATCCAGTTGCATATTTGTTTAATTCTTAGGGACGGGTTTAATTAAGAAAAATATTCCAGAATTCAGAATTTCGACTCGAAATGAAATTCATATATATTTATTTTTGGTTCAGAAACTTTATCCGCGGTTCGAAAGTTTAAAACTTCACGTTGAGACATATGGACTTCCATTTTTAACATCAGAAAAATGTTTACCAAATTCTGGGGGATGATATTCGGAAAACACCTTAGTTACTGCTACGTCCAGTATTAAATCGTTATTCTTCTTTTACATCCACTGGGTAAATTTTAATTTTTTTTTGGAATGAAATGTTCCTATTCAGAAGTCTGAAAGAAAACTTGTTAAAACTCTTAAAAACAAAGGAGATATTTAACAGATGCTCACACTGTGTCAATAACGAAACTCAACAAAGCGAAAATGTAAACAATACATGAGAGAATGGTAATGATCTGGTGGATTTAAGAAACAATTCTTTGAAAAAAAAACTTGCGGCGTTAAATTTGGCATAGAAATTCCGACAAGTCCATTTAAAATTGACTTGACCATTTTTTTCCATGGTTTACTTAGATTATAAAAAAACCCACTTCAGTATTTAATAATTGCCGGACAGGCTGCACAGTTTTCTCAATAACGGAATTTTGGTTGCGTAAACACAAATGCAGTAGTGGTTTGAAACCCACAACACGACAAAGATAAATTTACAACGAGGTAAACTTGAAAGAAGGAAATTATATCAAACAAAACCAGTTTGAAAAACATATGTTGTTAAAATGCTAAACTAAAATAATAAAAGGTAAATTTCAAAGTGTCTAAAGTTGTCTTTATTTTTTGTCTCCCCAAAACTTTCGTCTTTAATTGACGAGTGTCTAAACAACTGCAAGTTATTGATTAATTCACGAATACGGATCACACTTACTGTCAACTGAAGTATTTTAATCGATTTGCGGTCTTTTTATGTTTGAATACGTCATGAAGTTAACTAAGATTGAAGTAAATATAATGAGCACGAGATCGTGTTTTCAAAACAACTTTGGTTTTTTACATATTCCTTCCAAATGCTTTAAAACATATGTTTCTAGGTATTTATACTTCCAAATCCCTATCTAACATTCATTTCTCATCTGTCTCTGTCAAATATTACTCAAATCGAAAGATTCCGGCGCCTGCATGTCGTAAGAATACCAGCTCTTATCTACTTTTCTTTCAGCCGGTTTGAAGGAAAGTTTTCACAGCCGTCTTGACAGACAATATTTATTACTTGTTCCAATAAAATCCGTTGAATCTTCCGCTGTTTAGGATGAAAGGTTGTGGATATAGAGTAAACTGTAATCATTAGTTGACGGAATCGTCAAGTTGTACGACTCAGGTGAAAAATATGGCTCTCACTTGCTGGAAAAAAAAACAGGAAAATGAGAACAACAACAACACGCTCTTAACACAGCAATTCGTATTTCTTCACTATTTCCTAACGATCTCCCCATATATAGGACTTCAACTTCAATCAAGCGGAGACCAAAGTACAGTATAGGAAAAAGAATAGCACTGCGGAATTTTTAATGTAACTCTGTATTCATTATGTATTCACTCTCTCTCTTTCTCGGCATCGAAAAATCATAACAACAAAATTCGGAAATAAAAACAACGAAACCTGTAAAGTGGGTTCTTCGAAAGTAAATAGTATTCCTTCCGTTAGAGGGGAAAACAAATGGTTGCAAACCAATTGTAAAGCACTTCATTTACGTTTATCTAATTTGTTTTGGGCGCGTGAAGAGTGGTGTGAATTTTTAAAGCACCAACGAACACTCCTGGCAGAGAAGAAAGAAAAACACCTCTTTCGCTGCCAGGCATTTATTCTTTTAAGAGTTTTACCCGTTATGGGTAATGAGAAATCTTTGAACAACGATCACATACAATTTCCTGGAATCGGATGTGATGACTCTCAATAGAACAAGTTATGGAAACAACACTCCGGAAAAGTAAATTTCTAATTTTTGACGCTTCGTTGATAATTTTGCAAAGAGAGGAACAGATAAAGGAGTTCAATTAGCGCTGAAAAAAGGCTACGATTTAAACGAAGAAGCTCAAAATCTAATCAATGTTCTCTTCAGAAGAAATACCGGGTGGAAGACCTTTATTATTTCAAATTGATTTGAGAGATCTTTGGCTAAAAAACGAGCGGCAGGTTTCAGATTGAAATCATGTTGATATAAACGATATGAGAAATTCATTCCCGGCCACAGGTCAATCTCCATGCCTTATGCTCTGATATTAAAATCAGTGATTCGGAGTTATAATTTTGTTGTTGCTAAATTTTTTGTTTTGATCTAGTACACTCAAAGACGCTCAGGCAAATTTGTTCGTTGCTCATTCGTTTGAAGGACTAAAGAAACCTTTCTCCATCGGAAGGTTTTACCTTTCTCATATTTTGCTTGTTTTAATGGAAATATTCCTGCACTTGGCAAGCGGAATAGAGTATTTTCATGATTATTATAGCATTAATAGGCAGTCCAGCATTTTTATCAGTCCTTTTTGGAAACAGATCTGTCAGACAAGATTATTATAAATTTGACCAGTGTAGAATACAAGTTTATTTTAAAACTTGTGAACATACCTGGTTTAAGCAATGTTATTTTTCTTCCTATATTAATATCTCGTTTGAGAAATAGTGAGGAACCGTAAACACCGTTCACAATATGCCAATGATCTCTTTAAAAATGCTGATGTGTCGCACGAAGTAAGCAAGTTTTTTTACCAACACAGAATTGAAATTGTCGAGCAATAATTACATCTACGCTTAAATAGCTTTCTTTTTAGCCCCTACGTAAAAAAAAAATAAACATATGATAGAGTAAATTTTCGAATCTCCAGGTTATCATAAATCAACTTTCAGGTGCCGCATTTCAGCATGGCTCACGCTGAAACATCTCAAATTCCGAAACGGAATTTCCGGGTCTACATCCGTTTTTAGGATCAAAATCATATTTTGAAATATCTGTCTAGTGTGTTGCACTTTTCAACTTTGTGCAGATAGCACCACATGACATTTTCAGTCAGCATTGAGGGCCTCAAGACCGGTGAAAGTCTCAATAATTATCTCATAATTACCGATGCAGTATAAATTACTATTAGCACCTTGAAGAAAAAAAAAAAACCATGTTTGCCTCCTGCATGTATAGAAGTGAAAGGTTTTCAGCACATTAAAATTGACGTCCTGAAAACTTTCGACGCATCCGTGCCCAAACATACCGTTCCATTTTTTGAAACAGAATTTGATTCTCGAGCAATTTTGAAAATAATATTATACCTAAACACTAATAAAGATATGCAAGATGGCCGAGCTCAAGCTAACAACAGCTTCACTCTTCACGTTAAATATTCTAAGGGAGGGTAAACGTTAATAATTCTATCTTTAGTAAAACATATTTCATTCAGGGGCGTAATAGTAATTGACAAGTAATTTTCTGGAGTAGTTTATTGGCGGTTATTCAACTTTCAGTTCAAGGTGCTGTTTTCATTGAAACCCCAGAAACGATCTCGTTCTATCCGTTTCCGGTGATTTTACGTCTATTTTATTTCGTTTTATGTCAACATTTTTTTTTGTAATAAAGCTAAACATCGGTTACAGTGTAGCCAGAAAAAAGTGGCACAATAAATTCTATGGCTTCTTTATATTTTTTATTGTTATTTAGTTTTATGCAAATGCATTAAAACAAGTTTTTGACGGAAAACTTTTAGTTATGACAGTCGGAAAACTTTTCAAAGGAATAGAAATGAACTCAAAAGACGTCTTACATTATTTATTTACGTTTTTCTGTAGATATGACAAAGCTATATGCCAATTAACATGAATGAAGATACCAATATTGGTTCAGTTTAATTTCGAGTCATTTTCATGCCTGTTTACCAGGTCAGTTATTAACTTTGTCATTGATATTCTTTCACCTGCTTAAACATGAATTGAAAAATGAGGGATTTGGAAAGATCTTTGTTCTGTTTGGACTTTAAACGCTGTTATTTACCGAATGAGGCCCACACCGGCGTGTATGTCGCTGGGTTGTAAATGATGACTTAGAACACTGCTAATGAGAGATTGGATCGATTCCAAATTCATGTATTACAAATAGAGGGAGAAAATTTTCCTGTTCTATGAAGTGACAGCGCTAGATCAATTTTCAGCGTTTTCATGTTCTCAGCCTGATTGCCTCTTTGAACTCTCTTTAGAAATGTGAGAGACTAAAGTTTAACAACGTCACTTTTCAAAAGAAGAAATGTCGAGAACAGTTTTCAGTACTTAGTTGTGTCTTTATAAACCGGAACGCTATGCAGCGCAATGTAACTGTTATATTCTGAAATTAAAGCATATTCTGTAAAATAATGTCCGATTTGAATGTAGTGAGCTGATAAACGTGCAAGTTTTACGGCGATCTAAATGGCACGGATTGAATTACTAACTCGAATGAACTTAGAATCCGTGACACTTGTAGCTGGTCACCAATGTAATAAAGACAACAAACTTTTTCCATAATTCAGTTGA